TCAAATCCCATCTGCCTCTAGGAGATTCCGATAGAATGGTAAACAAGAGAAGCCCATTATCTGAAGTACCACTTAAAGCCACTTTAGGAGACAATGAGATTCCAGTAGGCTGGTAGTGAAATAGCCTACTAACTCTGAATCTTTGCCCTGGGCTGAACAATGGATTAATGATAATGTTTGAAACTCTGAACTACTGTCTCTGGTTACCTCCCCACCCACAGCAGGTTTTACTATATAAGAATACCTAGCCTCTCTTCCCTTGGGGGAGGGGGGGGAAGAGGAACACATTCCCTTACTTGGGCATCTCCCTTTAGTGGGTGTCCCCCTTACTCAGTTCTCCCTTTAGTGGGAAGTGTTTCCCCGAAGTGGCTGTCTTCTTTGGGGGGGGCTGGGGTCTCCCTTAAGGGGTGGAGGAGCCTGCTTGGTGTTTGTGTTACACTCACAATAAATGCCTTTACTTGATTTAGAGACAGCCTGAGCAAATTCTTTTGAGACAACCTTGTACCCCAATATTTTGGAGTGTACCCTGAACTTCAGCAGACCTGTTGAGTTGAAGGTGTCCAATTAGCAGCTGGAGATTGGAGACCAGAGGTCAGAAGAGAAAGGTCTGGACAAGTAAATCTGAGAGTCAGTCATCTTCATAAAAATCATAATTGAAACCATGAGAGCTCATGAGATCGCCAAGTCAAAAAGTATACATAGAGAAGAGAATCCAGGACAGAGCCTTGGGAGACCCCATAGTTAGTGGCCATGAGGTAGATGAAGATCTCGCTAAGAAGACAGAGAAAAGAGCTGTCAGATGGGTAGGAAAAGAACCAGGACAAAGTAGTGTCACAAAAGCCCCGGGAGAAGAGAGTATCAAGAAGAGAGATTGGCAGCTTCAAAAACTGTAGAGAGGTCAAGAAGTATAAGGACTGAGGAAAGACCATTAGAAAAAAGGCCATTTCACCTGTAGAATGAAGAGGTCATACTTGTCCTGTCAGGTCCCTCTAGCTCTATGATCCTATGTAGGAGATGTGGAGCACACTGGGGAACAGCGTCTGCAGGAGTCTTGGAGCAGAGGATTTATATTGGAGCATTGCACGGGGAGTAAGACTGGGTTGGATAGCACTATTTAGTGGAGGCCCTTGAATTTCAGGAAGAAGAGTTTTGTCCTAACTGAAAATAAAAAGCATGCCACTTTTGATGGCAAGGCTATCTAGAGATGACAATATTATGATTCAAAATGATCTTGGAATATTGGGAGATGAAACAGTGAGATATTTAAGCTTGGTAAAGGAGGTAGAATGATATAGTTTAAAATTGGACTTGGGAATCAGAAAACCCTGGATTCAAATACTTTCTCTGATATCTAATTGCTGTATTGCCTTGGTAAGTCTTTTAACTTCTCAGAGCCTCAGTTTCCTTATCTGTAAAATTTTGTATTAAAAAAAAGTACCTTTGAGATTATGGGTATAAAGTGCTTTGTAAACCTTAAAATGCTACTTAAAGGTCAGTTGTTAAAGAGGGAAGTTAATGATAGGCCATGGTATCTGTGTTTGAATTACTGTCCTTTGGAATAGGCATTAGATTTATTCTGTGTTGCTAGAAGATAAGTAAAATAAGATTTTTCTCTATATAAACAAGAATTTTCTTATGATCAGAGTTCTCCAACAAAAAAATAAGCTGGCTTACGAATAAATGAATTACCCAACATATACATTGTGAAACAGAGTGGATAACCATCTGTCAGGAATATTATGGAAAGAATAGCTTTCTTTATTGGGTGGATGATTATACCATATATGGTCTCCTCCAATTCTCTGATTCTGTGACATTCAGGAGAAAGATTCTTAACTTGACTCTCCTAACATAGTGATGTCATTTTGTTCCTCTTTGAGAACAGACAACAACCAACAATCATAGGAGCAGCATGATGAAAGAAAATTAATCTGGAAGCCATGTGCAGGAAGAACTGAAAAGGTAGAGAGACTAGAACCAGGGAGAGCAGTTAGGAGTATACTGAAGTAATTCAGAGATACGAAGATAAAGAGCTGAACAAAAGAGGATGGAACTAGGAATGAAGAGTAAAGTATGACTCTTTATTTGGCATCAAACTCACTGCTGTAGCCACCATCTTGAGAGGGACAGGATCCAGATTAAAATGTAATTGGGAAATGTTTAAGAAAATAAATAAAAATACAGTACAACATAGATAATGTTAATTTGTGGTTTTCTAAGTCAATATGTGGCCTCCAGGAATCCTCTTCTATTTAAGTTTGACACGACTGCTCTAAGATACATTGCAGGAGGAAAAACTAAAGGATCTTGGTGATTGAACATTGTGAGACTAGAGAGAAAATTCAGAGTTCTGCTCCCCCCAACTCCCCAAGGTTTTGCGTTTGGGGGACTGTGAAAATGTTTGTGTCAGTAGGGAAGCTGGTATGGGAAAACTATTTGGGGTAAAGGCAGTGAGTTCAGTTTGCATGTTGCACAATTTTGTAACTACTGATGTTTTAGCATGAGAAATAAATGGTTGCTTTGCTATATGTGTTGCAAATCTTATCTTTTCTGAACCTAGGTTTCAATTATATTTTAAATTGTAACTTTTTTTAAGAAAATTGAATCAGTGATTCCATTATTATATATGAAACTGTCTTTGAGCAAACTCCCTCTACCTGCCTTGCAGCTTAAAGTCTTACAGTTACCTAAAATGCTAACTAATATATTAAGTAACTTACTCAGGGTCACACAGACAGTAAATGTCAGAGGAAGATCTGAAGCCAGGTCTCTCTGACTCCATGGACAACTATCTACTTACTAGACTAACCCCTTTTTATATTAGGTTATATAATTTTTAAAAGTTAGAGTATTTCCATGATAGAAGCAATAAACACACACACACACACACACACACACACATATCCTATTTTTGCCTTCATAATGACATAGTCACATCCTGGCATTTAAGGCTCTCCACAATCTGTCTCTAAACTATCTTTCTGGCTCTCTTTCACATGATCCTGGCCAAGTTGTTGCCTAAATTTGGCATGCTATTTCTTGCCTTCATACATTTACAGAGGCTCCCATGCCTAGAGTGTACCTCATCTTCATTTTTCTTTAAAGTTCAACTCAAGTCTTAAGTCTTTCCATACCCCATCTTCCTGCATGCAAGTGCTCTTTTCCTCTTTAAGTTTTGAAAGTACTTTGTCTCTTTTTGCCTGTATTCCACTTGTCTCCTTTTGCCTGTGTTCCACTTGTAAGGGAGCAGTGGATGGGGGGTGTGTGTGTGTGTGTGTATGTGTGTGTCTGTGTGTGTGTGTTTTAATGTCAGATGCTGCCCACTACCCCCTAAACTCCAGAGGTTTCCTATTATCTCCAAGATCGTATATATAAGGTCCTCCGGCATTTAAACCCTTTACCACTTGGTCCCTTCTTATCTTTCTAGGCTTCTTATACTTTATCCTCTCTCCCTCACCCCCGTATACTCTAGGATCCAGCTATCCTGGCATATTTGCTGGATATGTGACCTGACTGTACTTGCACTGAATATTTCCCATTTCAGGAATGCTCTTCTTTCTTATCTCGACCTCCTATCTTCCCTGGTTTTCTACTGAGACTCAGCTGGAATCTCCAGAAGGCCTTTCCTAGTACCCTCTCCCCAATCTTCCATTCATCTGTATATATCGTTTATACATAGTTATTTCCATGTTATCTCTCTCCTTATATAATGTAAGATATGTTCTTGAGAGTAGGGATAAAATACAACATAGTATTTCTCCTTAAACTTATTAGAAAAACTATGACATAAACACAAGTATTATACTGAGTTTAAACTGTTATTCCCCCAGCAACACTGCTGTGGAGATGTGGTGGGCTTGTAGAAAGTCTGTGCATAGGCATTATTAAAGTCCCCTAGGTTTCAAAGGCTTTTGGCCCCTCAAGTATTTCCTTTCAGGAAGCCAAGCTATACTGAGAGGTGGAGGATAAGGACATTTGGCCACATTCAGGTTTCTTACTTCCCTGCCAAACCCAGAAGAAATGATCAGACTAGAGAAAAAGTAAGGCACTGAAAAGACCACAGCAAGCTTTGAAAAGAGATGCTTTATCAAATGTGCATGGGCAAACTGGGACAGGCAAGAGGACAGATGAGCCCCAAACAGCAGCACATAGTTGGCAAAATGAGTGAAGCACCCGATCCCTTTACTTCCCCTTCCTCCTTGAGAGCTGTCCAAGGAAACTCCTAATCCCTTCTACCTGTCCAAATAGGTTTTGTTTTGTTTTCCTGATTCCTCCCCTCTGATTGGTGAGAAGGGTTGGGGGGCTGTGAAGGAAAGGAAGAATTCAATGCCTCAGATTCAAATCACACTTCAGGCTCTGTATCTTGTTTTAACATCGATCTGCACATCTACACTATTTTGATGCTACAATTAAAGTACACAGTCATTAACAATGATTTCTGTGCAATTCTGTAGGCATAGTAACTCAGGATTCAGGGAAGGGAAGTTAGTCAATTTCAAACTAAGGCAGGACCAAGTGGATAAGAGAGTTTATGCATTTTTGGTCTTTTGGGAATAGCCATACCTGCTATACTGTTTTTGAACCCAGAGGAAAATTTGTCAAGAAAATGAGTCTGTGGGCTGAAAGATGAGGGGGCTGCTGTGGCTATGTCCAAGTGCCCCTTTTTAGTACTGCTACTTATACCTGGAATTGTTAATCAGTCATCCAACAAGCACACATAGTGTGCTAGACACTGTTAAGTACTGAGGATACAAAAAAAAGGAAAAAATAGTTCCTACTCTCAAGAACATATCTTACATTATATAAGGAGAGATCTGACTAAATTTTTATATAAAGTAAGGACCACACACAATTCAATTCAACAAACTTTCATTAAGTACCTACTATGTTTAAGGCATTGTGCGTGGTCCTTACTTTAAAATATCTATATTTTCACATGAAATGTATTTATGATACTGTATGAGTATCTAGCTAACTAATTCTCACTCTTATTTTTGCAGCCTGGAGTACTTGGATATTTCGAATTCAGTGGTTCTCCCCAGCCTCCTGGTTATTTGACATTCTTTGCTTCAGCTTTACATTCATTAAAGAAAGGTAAAAAGTTTAATTTAAGACATTAAAACACTTTATATAAAAATTTACTCAGAGTGATGCCACTCTCCTTTTTATGATGTGCTCTAATTATTTGTTTTTGAAACTTTGATGGATAATTATTACTTCAGAGAATTAACTGGATTTAAATGTATCTATCAAATAAATAGTTGTTTTGTATGCAATTACTCAACAATGAACAGAAAGTTGTATAGTGGTAACAATCTGACTATAATACTTCATTGAAAAGGTATCTCTTTTTATGCCTTAAGAATATCTGCTCTTGGAGTTGTGTTAAGTCAAGTTCTTTAAAAGTGGGAGAATCTATACCATCAAATAGTTATCTCAAGAAAGTAAACCTTAGTCAGATCAAATCAAGTAAAGGAAAGATTTTTAGGTCTTATATGAAATTTCAAGAGTCATTTCTAAGTAGATAAAAGTAATTGAAAGCGATATATAAGTATAGGCTAGTGTAATGTTAGCTATACGGTTATCCTTTTTCTGTTGCTAAAACTTTTTTTTTAAGGATTTTGGAATCATGGCAACCATAGAAAACCATAACTAATGGGCTGTTGTGTTTATTTATTTTTTATTTTTTAGGCAATTGGGGGTAAGTGACTTGCCCAGGGTCACATAGCTAGTAAGTGTCAAGTGTTTGGTCTGAGGTCAGATTTGAACTCAGGTCCTCCTGACTTCAGGGCCGGTGCTTTATCCACTGCACCACTTAGCTGCCCCCTGTTGTGTTTATTTTTAAAAGGGAGGAAAAGATATCTTAAATTATTTTCATTGATTGACTTTAAAGGGGTTTTAATTAAATTTAATTGTAATCCTGTTTTAGAAAACCTTTTCAAGTATAGGACAAACTTTTTCTCAAGAGTAGTTATGGGGGGAGCAGCTAGGTGGCACAGTGGATAGAGCACTGGTCTGGACTCAGGAGGACCTGAGTTCAAATCCGGTCTCAGACACAAAACACTCACTAGCTGTATGATCCTGGGTAAATCACTTAACTCCATTGCCTAGCCCCCCCCCCCCCCCCCCCGGCCCAAAAAAAAGAGTAGTTATAGAGGCAGCTAGGTGGTGCAGGGGATAGAGCTCTGGCCTTGGAATCAGGAAGACCTGAGTTCAAATCCAGCCTCAGACACTCGACATTTACTAGCTGTGTGGCCCTGGGCAAGTCATTTAACCCCCATTGCCTCACCAAAAAAAAGTAAAAAAAAAGAAAATTTTAAGAAGAGTAGTTATAGTTTTGTACTACAAAGCATTTACATAAATGACTTTTATACACTATAAAAGACACCTCTTCAGTTAAATGATCAGTCTTGAAGAATCCTTTATTATAAGAAAAGTATTTGATACTTTAGAGCTTTAAGCTTATTGATATGGGTATTCACAGAATTTAAGAGTTGGAAGGGATCTTGGCAGCCTTCTAGTCCAGTCTATATCTAAAAGTAATCCCTATTACAACTTACTTGATAAATGGTCATCTGGCCTTTGCTTGAAGACCTTCAAGGAGGGGGAACTTCCCTCATGAGGCAGCCCATTCTACTTTTGGACACCTTTGAAAGTGAGGGCATTTTTCCTGATAGCAGCCCTGAATGTGTTTCTTTGCAGCTTCTAAACATTGCTCCCTGTTCTGCTGTCTGGGGCCAAAGAGAGCAAGTCCAATCCCTCCTTCCTATGACAGCCCTTTATGTATTTGAATACACCTATAGAGTTCTCTTTTCCAGGCTAAATATTCTCATTTCCTTCAGCTAATCCGTTTATGACATGGACTCAAAGCCTTTTACTCTTCTGTTTGCTGTCCTTTTCAGCTTATTAATATCCTTCTTAAATGTGGCATTCAGCACTGAGCACAGTGTTCCATATGTGTTCTGACTAGGGCAGACTTACAGTACAGGGACTCTTCTTACCTTATTCCCGCTAACTAAGCCTCTTGTAGTATAGCTCAAGGTGATGTACTTTTGTTTGGCTGCCGTATCACAGCATTGACTCATATTATGCTTATGGTCCACTAAAACTCCCAGACATGTTTCAGACAAGATTCTGCCTAATTAGGTCTTTCCCCTTCCTGTACTTAAGAAGCTGACTTTTTGACTTTAAGTGACTGACTTTACATTGGTATCTTATTAGTCAGTCCCATGTTCTAGGCTGCAAAGATCTTTTTTGGATCTTTCCTCTTTCAGTCAGTATGTTATCTCTCCCTCCTGGTTTTGTCATCTGCAAACTGCATAAGCTTGAATCTATGCTTCTAATCAAGTCATTGACAACATTTTTAAATGCCCCAAAGCCAAGGACAGAAAATCCCTAGAGCACCCCGCTGATGACTTTCTGCCACATCAGCATTGAACCATTGCTACTTTTTGACATTTGAGCCCAATTGACATTGGTACTCTTTGAGTTCTATTCAGCCAGTTCAGAATCCCATGTCATTGTATTATCACCTAGTTGACATCTTTCCATCTTCTCCACAAGAACTGTGTAAGGGTGTTTTATCAAATGTTTTGCAGAAATCTAGGCAAACACAATATGTGCGTGTGTGTGTGTGTGTGTGTATGTCATTCCCCTGACTATTAGTTTTGTAAGTCTGTTAAAAAAATGTTAAGGTTGATCTGGCATGACCAGATGAAACCATGCAGACTTACCGTAATCATCATTTCCTTTTCTTCATGTTCAGTAACGATTTTTAAAATTGTCTGTTCAAGAATAGATATCAAGTTCACTGGCCTATAGTTTGTATATTTTCATTGCTATCTTTAAAAATGAGGACAAGTTTTATCCCCTAATTTTATAGTATTCTGTTTTCTGTTATCTTTCAAATATTGCTAACAGTGGTTCATCAGTCACATCCACTAATTCTTTAAATACCTGAGGATGTAGTTCATCTAGGCCAGATGCTTTGAAGTCATCAAGAGCAATTAGATTCTCTCTTAATTATGACAGTTAGAGACTTGCCTTATTTATCTTGGGTGTCAACTCCAACATTTTTGTTTCATCAGTTCTAGTTCCAAAGCCATTCTTCTTGGAGGAAAAATTAGTAGCAAAATGAGAGTTGAGTTTTTTTGCCTTTTTATTCCTTGTTTTAATTATACCGTCTACTTCAGACAGTGGTAATATCACTTTTTTAATCCTCCTTTTTCTCCTGGTATAGTGAACAGAAACATTTTTATGTGTTCAGTGTCCCTTGATAGCCTCTAATTATTGGGAGCTCTAAAATTCCTGACACTGTTTTTATAGGACCAGGCCACAGTCTTGTATTTATCATCTTTTAACTGCTCTCACTTCTGTCTTCCAAACATAGCTTTTAAAAGTCCAAGTTGGTTAAGAAAAGACCCTATGGATCCACATTGATCTCTTCGAACAACTTCTCATTAGAAGTTACCTTTCTGTCTTCATTCTTTCAACCTTTCATTCATGAAAATCTCATCCCCCCTACATTGATTTTCCCTATGAAATTTGAGTTCATGACTTCTTACTTATCCTTCCTCTCAACTCTTTGAAGCTGTTTTCCAAAATGAGTCTTCCTGACTTCAGGCTTGGCACTCTGTCTAGCTGCCCCTGAGTAATCTTCCTTTCACACTACTCGGAACATGTATCTCCTGTTTAGAAATCTTCTAGGCCTACCATTGCTTATGAAATAACATCTAAAATCCAGATGCTTGCATTCAAGACCTTCCATGGTCTGGCTGTAGATCACCATTCTGTTTTTAGGTTATTTCACATACTCTGTGTTCTAGGAAGAGTGACCAATCTTTGTCCCTTGCTTTTGTGCTGCCCTTTCCCATCACCTTACCTCTTACTCATGCCATCTCCCACATATATTTAATTTAATTTTTTAAATTAAAAATTTTTATTTTCAGTTCCAAATTCTGTACCTCTTCTGCCCTCATTGGAAGGACAAGAAATATGATATCCACTATGCATAAGAAGTCATATAAAACATTTCCAGAATAGCCATGTTGTGAAAGAAAAGCAAGAAAAATAAAGAAAAAATGCTTTAATCTGCACTCAGAGTTCATCAGTAGGTATTGCCTTTTTTTAGAGAGAAGTGAAAAGTGCTGTCTTTCATAGATTCTGTTTATTTGTGACCTGTTTCTAAATAGCTCAAAGTACTATTACAATTAATGAAATTAAATTTAATAAAATCTAGATATAATACAAAAAGTTTTTGAGTTAGGTTTTGGTATAACTAGCAAAGCATAATGACAACATTATTATTAATAATAGTGATAGTCATCGCAAATTATATTTGTTCAGGCCACTTTCTGTCCCTTTGATTTCACTGCAGTGTTAAGCTTTATATTCCTTGTGCAGTATACAATAGAAAGCCCAGGGTGTGGAGTCAGAGGATCTGACAAATTGGACAGTACCTGTTGTGTGATCACACAGCCAGTATGTGTCAGAGGTGAACTCTGACCCAGTTCTGTGTGACTACTTGCCTCTCCCTAAAACTAAACTGAACAAAATTTATTCTTTGATTCAGAGAGTACTTCATGTTCTTAGAGTGCCTCAGGGTTATTTGTATAGACATCACTTATTATTCAGAGGAAACGAAGTGTTAATAGAATTTCAGGATAGCAGAGTTTATTGCTAATTTTTTTGCTTTATCTTCAATCTTTTAATAGAGATAAATGAATATAATCATGGAATTGGGTACTTTTCCTGATGGATTTGATACTGAATTTATGTTTTCAACAAACCAGCTGTATTAAAATATTGAAGCTTCATTATTTTCAGAACTGAATAGCTTACTCTTTTAGTTATAAAGCCCCTATTGTTTTAAAGCCTTGGAGTCCTACTTAACAGAGTGAATGTTAAGAATATGAAAATGCACAATGATGTTTGTTGGTATCATTCTTCTTCATTTAAGAATGTCCTGTGCTAAGCCAAGAACTATTCACATGGGATTTTACAAATTTGAATTTCCTTCTTCAGTAAGAATTTTATTAAAGATATTCTAAGCCATATTTTGGGACTTGCTAGAGTTTATTAATTTCTCAGTGTTTGAGGAGACAAAAAGACGTTGCATAGATAAGAACATAGCTGAGCATCCTGAATTTGGACTAATTTAGATGAACTATGAGTGTTAATTAGTAGAATTAAATTGTTGTTGTTTAGTCATTTTCAGTCATGTCCAGTTCTTTGTGACCTCTTTTGGGATTTGCTTGGCAAAGACACTGGAGTGGTTTGCTATTTCCTTCTCCAGCTCATTTTACAGATGAGGAAACTGAGGCAAACAGAGTTATGTGACTTCTCCAGGGTTACATAGCTCATGTCTGAGGGTAGATTTGAACTCAGGGTCAGGAAGACTTGAGTTCAAATCCAGCCTCAGATACTTACTAGTTATGTGATCCTGGGTGAGTCACTTAACCTCTATCTCAGTTTCCTCATCTGTAAAATAGAATAATAATGACACGTTGGATCATTGTATTCCTGAGAATAGCTGAATCATTCACAGTTGTTCATTATACTGTATTGCTGTTAGTGTGTACGGTGTTATCCTGGTTCTGCTCATTTCATTCTAAATCAGTTCATGAAAGTCTTTCCAGGCTTTTCTGAAATCCATCTATTCGTCATTTTTTATAACACAATAGTATTCCATTACATTCATATACCACAGCTTATTCAGCCATTCCTTAATTGATGGACATCTCTCAATTTCCAATTCTTTGTCACCACAAAAAGAGCCACTATAAATATTTTTGTACAGATAGGTCCTTATCCTTTTTTTTTTTTTAATCATCTCTTTAGAATATAAACCTAATAGTGTTATTGCTGGATCAAAGGGTATGCATAGTTTGATTGCCCTTTGGTCATAGTCCCTAATTGTTCTCCAGAATGGTTGGATCAGTTAACAACTCCACCAGTAGTGCATTAGTATCCCAGTTTTCCCATATCCCCTCCAGCATTTATCATTTTCTTTTTCTGTCATGGTACTTCATAGTTGTTTTAATTTGCATTTCTATAATCAGTAGTGATTTAGAGCATTTTTTTATATGACTTGATAGCTTTGATTTCTTCTCTTGAAACCTGCCTATTCGTATGCTTTGATCATTTATCAATTGGGGAATGACTTATATTCTTATAAATTTACTCCGTTCTCTATATATTTGAGAAATGAGGCCTTTATCAGGGATACTTGATGTAAAATTTTTTTTCTCAGCTTTCTGCTTTCCTTCTAATTTTGGTTGCATTGGTTTTGTTTGTGCAAAAACTTTTAAATTTAATATAATCAAAATTATCTGTTTACATTTTGTAATGCTGTCTGTTGTTCAGTCCTAAATTCTTTCCTTCTCCATATATCTGACAAGTAAACTATTCTATACTTTTTATCTAAATCATATACCCATTTTGACCCTGTCTTGGTATGTGGTGTGAGAAGTTGGTCTATACATAGTTTTGCCATACTTTTTTCTAGTTTTCCCAGAGGTTTTTGTCAAATAGTGAATTATTGTCCAAAAGCTGGGATCTTTGAGTTTATCAAATACTAAATTACTATGATCATTTATTACTATGTATTGTGTACCTAATCTATCTCAGTCATCCACTACTCTATTTCTCATCCAGTACCAGATTGTTTTGGTGATTACTGCTTTAAAATATATTTTGAGATCTGATACAACTAGGCCACCTTCCCAGTTAAGTGTTTTTTAATACATAAAAATATGTCTCACTCCATATTTAGGGTCTTTGGATAGACTGGGTAATTCATTGACCCGTTTATTATGCCTGTTTTGCTAATATGTTGTTTAGCTCAGATTGTTTCCTTATTGTCAGCCACACAGTGTAAAGTTGAAGTAGTTAACTTCAGCCCAAGGAAGGAAATTTTGTGAGGCCAGAACAGGGAGGAATCAAGTAACCAAAGGTTTAGAAGAGGGAGGTTTTCGCACAGGGAGAGCTGAAGAGAGCCAGGTAGTTATGGTCAGAGAGAAACTGTGTTATCCAACCTTTGCTGTCATTGGGATGACCTCTTTCTTATCCCCTCAGGCTTAAAATTTTGGAGTATTTTTTATTCTTCTCTGTTCTTATGTTTCCCCCTGCCCAACCTTTTAGTAAGTTATTGAACCCTACTAATTATTCATTTCTTAGATTTTACCTTCCTTTTTATTGCTACTATCCTAGTTCCCAGACCCTCATTACCTCACAGTTGGATTACTGTAACAGTTTCTTAGCTGGTCTTCCTTCCTCCAGTTTTTCTTTATTTCATGTTATTCTCCACACACGTGACAAATTAGTTTACTGGAAAAACATTTTTTGTTACACCAAGAGCTTGGCACATCCTTGATGTCCATTTCTGTTTTCTCTTGGTCCTAAGTTCTTTGTGCATTAAAAAGACTATTGCTAGAAGACTAGACTTATTTGACAAAGGATTGGCATATTTCAGAAACTCCCATCTGGTATACTAATATTTATATCTGCACATTTGGATGTCATTTAACAGTAAAATGTGTAATTTACAGCATGATTAACAATGTTATAAAATGTAATTTCTATTAGTCTCATCTTAAAATGGCAGGTTAAAAATGGGGCTAAGAAAAGAAGCCATTTCATGCTTCCCTTTTACTTTCTAAGTGTGTCTGCCTTTCAGAGTGAGAATTTGAACTAAGAATTGCCTTAACTTGGGAACTAGAATTCATATATTACAGTTCCCAAAAGCATAAGACATTTTAGAGCACATGGATAAAGAAAATGACCAAATGAGAAAAAGATAATCAAAGTGCTTTGAAAACCACAGAGAACAGATTCAACCAAAAAGCAATACTGTTACTTTTCCATCTGAGAAGAGAATGTCAGTAACTTAGAGATGAAATGTGTGTGTGCGCATTATACCCCAGTTTAGTTATTAAATAGTAGTTATTTGTTTTTTTTTTGTCCTCAGATTTAAATTTTGAAATGGCCCTGGAGCTCTTAATCATACATTTAAATATACGTACATGCATACATATATCTGTACATGCACATCCCATTTAAACATATTTATATAAACATTTAAATATGTATGTATTTATATACATGTATAAGATCATATTATGTAATGAAAAACAATTTTAAAATGTGAACGATTACTCTCCAGCTTGCCGCAGATTGATATTTCTATTTAACTGTAGCTTATTTTTGCCTGTGTTTTGTTTATTTTTTAAACATTAAAAAAATTATACATAAGAAGGAACACATCTGATTCAGTATTACTTCTGTGTGTATGTATGTGTATTTTAGTATACTTGTTTGTATATACGTTTATTTCTATTATACTATATTTTTGCCTCTGTGGTTTGTTTACTTTTAAAATATTTTAAAATTTTATTATAAGAAGGCAAAACATAACTTTTAGATTTGTTAAATTTGGAAAATATTGGATATAGCCATAAAAATATCATGGCCTTTTGGTTTTCTAAATATTTGTGAAATTTCATTTTGGTTTTTATTTTCTTGCTGTATTTTTTCCCCCATCCAAAGCAACTGCAGTAATACAATATATTCACTTTACTCTTAATTATTTAGAATTTGGGTAAGAGCACTAAATGTCAATTATTGGGGTTATGCTATAAGAAATAATATCTGGAATATATTCCAGTGTTGCATTTTGTTGTCAAAACTTAATTCCCAAAGGTGGCCACAATATGGTTGTCTGTTTGGTTGTAGATTTCCTCTCTAGGCTGCCTGGAGTGAAAAACCTCTGCTGCCACTCAGGGACCTGGAGGCTTCCTTTGAGCTCAGACCCATTTTATTAAAAGAAGCTCTATTTTTAAAGGATCCACTCATCCAGATGTCAATATTCTTTTTGGTCATTTTATTTTTTATATGCATTTTTTTAAACGAAAGAACACTTTCTCTTTCAGATTATCTAGGAACATTACGCTTTGGTGTTATCACAAATAAACGTCTTGCCAAACTGGTGTCCTTGGTGCACTCTGGAAGTGTGTATTTACATAGGCATTTCAACACATCACTTGTAAGTATTCCATATTCATTATTGATACATTGAGGTACCTTGAATTTTTATTGAACTTTGTATTCTTGGGATTTTCACAAAGCCTTGTTTTTCATTTGGTGCATAAAATTGCAAAAATCTGTGGAACACTTTGTGCTTAAATTCCCAGGAGTTTTTCCCTACTCTTTATTATGCAGAATAAACTTTGTGCCATTTATCAAGAACAATAAAATAACAAGTTTTTCTCCCAAGATGGTCTGATAGACTTTTAAGCTTTTTCAGTTCACCCTGGAGAGCTTCTAGAGTTTATGGCTACTTGATCTCTGGAGAGCTTTAGGGAGCCCTTAAATTTCCCTTTCAACTTAATATTTCTCAGCCTTAGCCGTATTTTGGAGAGACCACCTCAGGGCACTGTTATTCCAGAGCTTTGACATAATCTTTCACAGCTATTATTTTGTTTTTATTTGCTACTTTACTTAGTCTTCTTATCCTACAGATAGTACAGTTTTCATTTTATTTTTCTTAGAACTGTATAATTCTGTTAGCTATATTGACATTTTCACTTTAGGGCATAAAGATATTTCCATGTGTTTGTCTGCCTATGTCTTTCACCAGCTGTCTGCTTCTCTTTCTCTATGGTAATCTTTGTTTCCATCACTGTTAGTATTTTTGTATAATAGTATAGATCAGATTATTTTTCTACTGAAAGATTCTGGGATAAAAATTCATTATTAGAAGGTAATGACACTGGCAGAATTGAGAATAACACTAAAACCACTGGATTGATAGGGTAAAGCTTTCATCACTCAGACTATTTTAATTTACAGTTATGTAAATAAATAAAATAAATAAAAATGAATACTTTTTTATTCTGAAAAAGAATCACAAAACACATATAGATTTCTTAATATGCATTTCCTATAATAAATATTTTGCGTGAGCTTCTTCTGGTCCTTTTTGGGAGTTTTTGAGTATTAGGTTAAACATGTCAGCTAGCGTGATGGTTGTTCTGAGAAGTATATCTTAATTCTGTACCCAAAGAACCACCAAGCAGGGACTCCAGAGGTGGGGAACCTGAGGCTGCATGTGGCCTTCTAGGTCCTTGGGTGTGGTCTTTTGACTGAGTCCAGGTTTTACGGAACAAATCCTTTTATTAGGGGATTTGTTCTGTGAGGTTTGGATTCAGTCAAAGGGCTGCACTTGAGGACCTAGAGGGCCACATGTGGCCTCGAGACCACAGCTTCCCCACCCCTGTATCAAGCCATTTCCATCTTCACTACAGCTGAACCCTGCTATATATGTTGTCTCCTCCAGTTAGAATATGAGCTCTTGTGATCAATTATTGTCTGGCTTTTCTGTTTGTATCTCCAGTGCTTGGCACGTAGTTGAGATTTTTCTTTCATTCATTCAGTATAATCAGCTTTCCACCTGCAAATGATATGATGTTATTTGACCTATTTATAACATTGTTCATATGGAATTAACTTGCCCCTATAATGTTGTTTTGCCTAAAATTTTATTGTTGTGGAACAATAAAATTAGGAAAAAGTAATAGATGTAATAGAGGTGTTTGGTTCATTGTGCATACTTGACAACTTTGTGAAAATTTTATCTAGGTAAGGTGTTGGACTAGTTATTTGTAATATCAGTGATAAAAATATTTTAATCTAGGAATCGAGAGTAAAATAATCTGTGAATTAATATATCCTATTACTATCAAATTTACATTTTCAACTTTTGAGGTAAGACTTAGTCTCATAAATAGTTTCTTTAATACCTGATAATGATATTGGTTTGCTTTTGTCTCATGTGTCCCTTTATGCAAAGGTCTTTCCCAGAGAGGTAATGAACTACACAGCTGAAAATATTTATAAATGGGCTTTGGAAAACCGAGAAATGCTTGTTCAATGGCTGCGACCACATGGAGGGAAAAGTCTTCTTCTGAATAATGAACTCAAGAAAGGACCAGCACTTTTTTTATTTATACCTTTTAATCCCTTAGCAGAAAGTCATCCTCTGTTAGATGAGGTAAGCCTCATAATATGAAAGTATAATTCAGAACTATTTATTGCGTAGTAAAACATCATTATTTGTACTTTGTTCATTCATAATTTATAATAATTCAATGAAATAGCTGATTCAGTGCCAATAATAGCATCCATGGCTTTTCTTTCTCTGGTTAAAAGGCCAGGGATAAACCTGAACACTTCTTGGGTCAGCTAAGCAATGGTTAGATACACAGAACTATTTGGTAGTGGATGAGGGTGAAGGAAAGCAAAACCATTCCTAATTTCCCTGTGGAGAAGAACTTAAGCTACATAAGGTGATTGAGATTATTCTTGCCTTTTATTATTAATCATCACCATCATTATTGCTGTTATGGCTGAGAAGGTGGAAGGACAAGCACAAAATAGATAGTGGGATACATAAGAGAAGGCAATTGAGCAAAGCAGGTTTGGACTTGTTTCCGCTTATATATCCAGAATGAGAAGTACAACCTTAGCACCAGCAACAACAACATTTTCCTGGCTTTTCGACTTTCAAGTCAGACACCCAAATCAGTTCTCAAGTGGCTGCCTACCATCAGCAGGATTGGGTTTCATCCAGTTTATTCCCTTTTTCTGTAAGTTTATTTTATATATGGTTCATTTGCAGTCAGTTATAGGGAGCAATAAGAAGTTGTAGAAAGCCTGGGGATAGTTACTAAATTGGATTTACTGACTTTTATTTTCCTGTTGCCCAAGGATGGCTTAATTGGTTAAAACTGATTTCAGAGAGTCAGTATACTCTAAGCTAACTACATACTACCTCTGTCTCTTCAGAGTGAACCTAATTTATCCCTCCAAGAAAAGCAGAACTTAATACTTCTTGTCCAGCTAAGACTACTATTTTGTTGCTGGAATTTTCTCATTTAGACCATTTGTAGGGATCATTCCATTATGTGGCACTACTTTGTATTGTGTGGAAAATGAGAGAGAAATGAAAGAGGAACAAATGGAAAGCTTCCTTGTTGTTCATGCCACTGTGATGGGAAGATCCATGAATAATAAAATTTAATTTATTTTAAATATTTTGGCCACTCAAACTTTATCAGCTCAGCTATATACTTCTGTGTTCTAAATTAACTGAGATTTTATTAATTTAGACCAGCAGTGACACTTTGGAGCACTGTGCAGAAAAAAAGTCATATGTTTACCTGAGGCAGTAGCAAGTAGTTCTAGGTGTAAATATTTATGTAAATGTTAACTTTCAGTGTTTAATATTTTAATATTTTAAGTTTCTGCTCAAATTAGGGGTGGGTTGGTTGCTGTGACAGAAGGGTAGAAGCTGTGTTTCCCTGTTAAAATGGATATGGGTATACCTCGTGACACAGTAGAGCATGTATTGACTAGTAATATTTTTCCTCAAACACCCTGTCTCTTTCTGTATATCTGCTTTACATCATCATTACTTTTCCTATGGAATAGAGCCCACAACATTCCTGTGAATTTAATTAACTCCATCATATAGTTGGAAAAACAGGCTTAGAAAAGTTGTGATATACCGCAAGTAATGCAGTGCATTATGGGTGGAGCTCAGACTAGAATCCAGATTTTATGAATCCTAATCTTAAGTGTCATCCACCCAACTCTACTGCTCTGTTCTCACAGTGTCAGTTATGTGAGCAGATTTATTGATAAAGGCTATAAAACTAACATCTATAAGGGGTTAATTCTTAAATTTGTTAGCCCTTATGAATGAGACTTTTCAGTTTTAAGGAGCCAGAAATTACGTTTAAGTAACTTGTCAAAAAATATAGGCTTAGCCTAATACAGTGTAGTAATTAGCAATTTTTGCAAAGTAGCTTAATAATTTCTTGATTTTTTTTTTTGCTATATTTTGTTTTTAATATTACCCTTCCTTCCAGATATATACCTCCTTGCTAAAATAAATGAAACATACTTTGTTACAAAAAATAAAAAAGGAAGAGTGGGAAAAAGTATTCAGCAAAATTAACAGACACATTAATAACCTTTGATAGTGTGTGCAGTATTCTATATTCATAGTCCCTCTTCCCCGCTTACAAAAAAGGGAGGGTGGGTCATTTATTTTCTCAGTTCTTCTCCAAGGCTGAACTTGGTCATTATAATTAGACAAAATTTTGCTTCCTTTGTTGGTCTTTCCATTTACATTGTTGTAGGAAATGTGCATATTATTTTCTTGGTTTTCTTTTATTCACTCCATATCAGTTCATAAATCCTTAAGGTGATGTGATGATTCTTTTGGTCAGACCTACAAATTTCACTAATTAAAGTAAATCGGAAGCGACGATTACAGTGCTAACATTTTAAAGTTGCCAAGTTTTCCTTATTTGTTCCTGTGTAATAAAATATGGCATCAGGTACTAGACTCTTACATGACATCATTTAACCAAGATTTAAAAAATACTACTTGTAAAGTAAAAGGGCAAAAAATAAGAATCTCCTTTCTTTGTCATTTTCTTCCTTTTATTCCATTTTTTAAAGAAGAAACTCCATGCGATTTAACACCTTAGTATCTTATCTAACTCTAGCAAGATTTAGTCCATGTTGACTCCTTTCCTATTATTGCAAACTGATATCCTCCATGCTGAGTTATTTCTCCTTCTTTTATAACTAAAGAAAAGCAAGATTTATTGTCCAGTTGTCTCTTATCTACAATAGGATGCGTTCAAGTTGAGGCAGCTCATCAGCCTCAGTCACTTACTAGCCAATATTGTATGTGTGTGTGTGTGTGTTCACACAACACACACATGTGTATATATTATATATGTGCACACATACACCTGTGTGTATATGTATAATTATTATAAATGAAATTGAGTGATACTTAAGTCTAAATTGCTAGTGTGCAGCATTATGGTGACCATAAACAAATACGAGAGATAAAATTACCCAATGAATTCATGTTCTCTTTGTACAAAAGAACTGATTTGGACACTAATTTACTTGTTATTAATATTTCATTAGGAGTTCTGAAAATTTTCAGAATGAAGTTATTTTGGAGTATCAGTGGCAATTAAGATGAAGAATATAACTATCAGATTGTAAAATATCCTATGTAGTTTGAAGCTTACCAATACCATGTGAAGAGACTGGACAGGAGATTTGCTGCTAATTTCCCCAGTGACTCTGGGCAAGCCACTTAAACTCTCTGGGCATTGATTTTCGAACCTTTAAATTGAAAAGATTGAAGTAGATCTCTTTCAGTTAGAAAAAATATATGTGATTCTGTGATAGTAACATGACATGGGACCTTAAAAATAGTCTCTTCTGGAACCTAAATATTGTCATGTTAGGTTTTTGCACAATAGTGATAAATATACACTTTTAAAAATTTATATTCAAGGCAATACTTATTACCAAAACTTTCTCATGGCACTTAATTATAAAATGTTTTAGTTACACTAAAATTAGAAAGGATTTTATTTTAAGTCAGTAGCATACATCTCACTGATCCTGTTTCCCCCATGACTTTTTCTTTAGATTACCGAAGTGGCCTTGGAATACAACAACTGTAATAAAAGTCAGGTAGTTGAACAACTACTTCAACACCTGAGACACGTGGATTCATCAACATTGGATTCTCTGGTATCCAACCCCCCAATCCAACTGGCAGAATCATCTTCAATAACTGAGTCCCCATGCTGCAATACTGTGGTGCTTCCTCAATGGCATTCCATCTCAAGAACCCACAATGTCTGTGAGCTTTGTGTCAACCAGTCAGTTGGGATTAAGCCAAGTAAAGTCAGTGTGCCACAGTGCAGTTTTTTTGAGATAGCAGCAGCTTTGGATTCATTCTACCTCAAGGAACACACCTTCTATCAAGTTACATCAGATAGCATAGAATGCAGCAATTTTTTAAGTTTCTATAGTCCTTTTAGCTACTATACTGCATGTTGCAGGACCATGCGTAGGGGCTTGACTAATTCTGAAGAGGATATCTTTCAGTCCCCTTCCATCGCATTTTCTTCCCATGAGAAGAAATGCAAGGTTGATAACCCAAGTTCTGTTCCTCACATTGAGGAGAGCATCTCTCTCTTTCCTGAAGTTGATATTAATAGCACAGGTATCACAGGCCTGAGCTGCAGGACCAACAAGACCTTGAACCTTTATCTATTGGATTCAAATTTGTTCTGGTTGTATGCAGAAAGGCTGGGTGCATCAAGTTCGACTCAGGTTAAAGAGTTTGCCGCTATTGTTGATGTAAAAGAAGAATCTCATTATATCTTGGACCCCAAACAAGCTCTTGTAAAGCCTGCTCTAGGTACTGTAGGTAGTTTTACTTTTGCAAATATTATGTATAATGCTAACTCCTGAATAGAGGTGACCTCTTAATGTTGTTGGTAATGTTGATGTTGGTTAAAAGGATGCTGTCAATCTTTACATAGTTTTTCACTTTTTCTTTTTGCCGGTAATGTATTGTCATTTTCTAAATGACTAAATTAGCTTAATGCCAGGATGACAGGATTTAGTAGTGCTGGAAGGGACATTACAGGTTTTATAATCCAGACCCTTCTTTAAATGATGAAGAAACAATCCCAGAGATCTTAAATGACATGCCAACAGTCACCCAGCTAATAAGTGGAGAGCCAGGATTTGAGGCCAGGCCCTCTGAGGCCAAATCCAGTGTTATTTCCATTGTTTTACACTGCTTTCCAGCCTCCAAATTCTGGACCTATTTGTTACTTAGTCCTGTGTTTCATTAAAAATCAAACCAATACATTGACAGTGATTGAGAAGGAAGGTTTTATGAAAATTTTCTAAGATGATATCCAGTGGGAACAGAATACCCTCATTAATTAAGAGATACCAAGGTGTTTGGCAAAGTAAACAGAACCTGTTTTGGTGGGAATATCTCATGTAGAAATGAGAAATGTCAACAGCTACATCAACTTCATTCTTCAGAAGAAGAATATAAGTATTTTATTCAGGTTAACCTTTATCTCCCTTTGCCCCAAAAGTTCAATTTGTAGCAGCCCATACCAAACCATACCTTACCATGGTTTGACCAGTTGCTATGTTTATATCATTGCATTGGGGATATTTTCTTGCCATGAAGTACCCTTAAGCTACTCTTGGGGCAAGTGGACAAGCGAATAGGAGTCATCCTTTTCCAATTAACTCAAGAAGAAGAAATATTTAAATTTAGCCTGTCTCTAGCAACAGTGAATTCATCAGGCCTTGTGTGTAGGACAACATTGTTACTAGTGTTCAAACCTATGAATTCAAAAGCTGTTTAATTCAGCTTCATTGGAAACAGGAAAGTCATCCTTTCCCTGAATAGACAAGGAAGGAATTTGTGAAAGAAAACTTTAAAATTTGGTTTTCAAGTGTTAGAGACTATAAAAGACCATGAAGAGTAAAATTAAGCCTTTTTCCCATAAATAGTAGCCATTTTTAGTGACTTTCTTTAGGCATGTTCATGACAAGTTGCATATATTGAACTTTTCTAACAAAATATAGTTTATATGTACTTAGGAATCTATTTAAAGATACCCTATAATCAAATACTTTGTAAAGGGCTTAAAATCCATTAGTAATTAAAATAATTATCCACTAATTCTGTTTTCTAAAATATTTTGGCATATTAGGTTTTATTAGAGTAAGGAACACCCATATAGTTTTAAGAATCAGGTGGTTTTTAAAATGTTTCCTGTAAAATAGGGTTCAGCAAAACTCATTTATTCAATGAGATCAAATTGTGCTAACTTTGAAACGGGTTCTGGGACAGAATTTTTAGCCCATTGCTTCTTATTTTCTTGCATCTACCCTAAACATGCCAGCTGATTGCTGACAGCGTTGTTGACAAAATCAGTAGTGAATTATGGGAGGTCACCTGTTGCACAACATTATTACATGCTCAGAGAAGTTATAAAAAGTATAGTCATTCTGGTTCTGGTAAGCTAATCTACGGAATATTCATTCTTTGGCCTTCATCTTCCTCCTCGTATAGTTTGCTTTTGGATATTTTCACTGGAATATCCTGTGCAATAGATATTTGACTCTCAGAATGAAGGAGGATAGAGAGAATAGGAGAAAGAGATGTGAAACAGTGCTGCTACAATGTAGCAAAACAATATTAGATAATGAGTTAATAGGGTGACTACTATTAGCTAAACTTAGGCCTTTGAATATTTGTGGATTTCATTTACCCATTTTATCTTTTAATCCTTATGAAGTGTAATCAGAAGCTTAATTTATGTTTCACTAAGCCAAAGGCTAGGGAGGAAAAAAAAAATCCAGTGCTTTAAAAAAAAAAAAAAATTAACCCTCAAAAGCCATGACTGGAATGCTTGCTTGATTTTATTCATTGTCATTGTAATGCATTTGAAAGTCATTGTATTATAGGTTGACATCTTAGAGATTGTACTATTTTGGAAATTCTTTTATACAACTCCACTTTTGAATTTGTGAATTGGCCCTATTAAGAAAATGACAGAATCCCTAGTCCTCAAAATTGATAGTTTGTAACATTATGGAAAGTGGTCTTATGTCAACCACTAGTACCCATATTGTGCTTCAAGGTAAGCTTGGTGCCATTAATTCAAAATTATCACCTTTATGAATTTTCAGGGTGAGGCAGTTTTAAAATCTTAGTCTAGAAATAATTTCAAAAATTAATTTTCTAAAATGTAAACATTAAAACAGAACTGCTACTTTTACTCAAACTGTGAAAAGGAATAATCTTATTGTTTCTTTTTATAGAGTCTTTTATTCAGAACTTCAGCGTTCTCTACAGTCCATTGAAAAGGCACCTTATTGGAAGTGACACTGTCCATTTTCCTTCTCAGCACCTAATCTCTGAAGTAACAACTGATACGTTTTGGGAAGTAGTCCTTAGAAAACAGGTATTTTCCATGAAAAAGCAAATCAGACCTTCTTTTCCTTTACAAAGAGGTTTCCTCTCAAAATGCCTATGTGTGAATGAGTGGTATTTAGCTTTTGAATGTAAAAAAAAACCTGTTTATATTACATCTCATTATTAAACCCAGTGATTTTTTTTTAAGTGCAGCATTAATTTGCTGTTTTCTCTTCTATTGATATCCATAGAAAATAGAAATTAACCTCATTTTTGCCAAAGGTTGAGATGTCTAATTTGGGATGATTTAGTGAAGGTTATAAGGTTTATATGTCTTTTTCTGGTTTTAGTAAACCTGGTATTTCCTTCTCTTAGGATGTTTTGTTGCTATATTATGCACGTTGGTGTGGGTTCTGTGCATCTCTTAATCATATTTTCATCCAGCTTTCTCGTCTCCTGCCTCCAGATAAATTCACTGTGGCCAGGTAAAATAAACTTGTTTTCTACCATGTGCTTTGTTAGTATACGTCTTAAGTTTTCTTTTTCAATTTTCATATATTAAGTTGTAGATTCTGTCCAATTTCCACTGTTTATGCTAATTTATCTATTTAACTGTAGTTTTTTTTTAAACTGTAGTTCTGGGTACAAATTCATTATGACCAAGATTGTTATAAGAAAATATGCTTAGTTTCTAATACTGTACAATTATATGGCACTTTACCATATTGTTTAATGTGTTTAGGGAAAAAAATCCAATTTAGACATCAATTCTGTTATCCACCTTGCCATATTGTAAGCATTATGAGGGCAGGCACCATGTTCTTTGTATTTCCCCCAGCACCTAGTGTAATGCTTTGCATATAGTAGGTGCCTAATAATGGTTATTACTGAGTTATTATGAATGAAGTAATAAACATGAAAGGGATTAAAAAGAAGCTTTGCTAACATACAGTGCCCTAGTTTACCTTAAAAAAAGGGGGAGGGGCGGGCAGCTAGGTGGTACAGTGGATAGTGCTCTGGCCTTGGAGTCAGGAGGACCTGAGTTCAAATCTGACCTCAGACACTTGCCACTTACTAGCTGTGTGACCTTGGACAAGTCATTTAACCCCAATTGCCTCACCAAAAAACAAAAGGCCAAAAAAAAAAAGATAGCTCGAGTATTGTGGTCTCTGTTAAATTCAGAGTACATCATTTAATTTATATTATTTTGCATATCTTTAATTTGGTTTTACCACTTTTTAAAAAAATGTACTTTCATGCAAAAATATGAGACCAATTTCTATTTAATATACTTTGTCAAACTTATGGAGATGCTACCTCAAAAGTTTTGTTCTGTGTATGGATTGTGGAAGCTAATGGAGCGAAGAAGCTTGTCTTTACAAAAAGAAGGAAATTTTTATCTCTTTCTTGATATGCTTTACTTCATTTATTTCATTTATTTATTCAGCAAATTTTTTCATTTACTTCATTTATTCAGCACATACCTGTGAGCTGTTTGCTACATGCGTAGCTCTGTCAGGAACACACATAAATTTACTCCAAGGATCTGTGGTTTTGGTGGTTTGGGTACTCCCTCTGTCCGAGCAGACTGCAACTCATCACCAGATCTACTAGATGATCTCTCAGAGTTTTTGTGGCTGAAAATGACATTCCATAGCCAACCTGATGTGAAGCCCTTCTCCAAATTCTTTTGGGCTTGTAACCAACCCATCACCAGGCCCATGTACAAAGCGTTTTAGCTTGGTAAAGAACCTGACAGGTTGGGGAATAGTCTTTTCACATGCCACAAGGAAGAATCAGAGTGGACTTTAATGGAGGACCAAAAGGGCAGTTCTGTTTAATTATTTTAAAAAGCATTTTAAATGCTTAGTAATGACAATAGCTAGCATTTACAGCTAGCTACATTTGGCAGCTAGGTGGCGCAGTGGATAGTGTGCAGAACCTGGAGTCAGGAAGACTCATCTTCCTGTGCTCAAATCTGGTCTCAGACACCTACTAGCTGTGTGATCCAAGGCAAGTGACTTAACTCTATTGGCCTCAGTTTCTTCATCTGTAAAGTGAACTGGAGAAGAAAATGGCAATCCACTCTTTTATCTTTGCCAAGAAAACTCCAAACGGGGTCACAAAGAGTCAGACTTGACTGAAAAATGACTGAACAAAAGCATTTACATAGTGTTGTATTAAGTTTTGTAAAGCTCTTTACATATGTTTGTTTCCTAAAGTTCCAAGTTAATTTCTGTATAAGAGAATGAATCTGGAAATAACTGATTAAAAAAATGGCTTTGCCAACCTATTTAGATTTATCAATTATATTATGATTTTGCTTTCTAGTTTTCCTTAAATTGCTAAATTATGATGCAAATCATACACTATTCTAGAAATATTTAATGGGGCAGAATATTGAGCCAGATCCTACTAAGTGAGTGAACTACTTTTTAGATATAAGAAAGGCATTGATGGAAGCTAGTTTATACTTACGTGGCACTAAGATCCTTACTAAATTAGGTTTTCATGGGCACACGATAGTGCCAGGTGATCTTAAAAGTATTATTGCCTAACTTATATCTAGTTGTGTTCTCACTCAGAAGGATCTGGCACAGCCTTTTTACTTTTCCATATTCTTAAGGCATGTTAGGTGCTTTTTTGTTGTCTTTTTTTTCTGTTCCTTTATTATTTTTCTATTCTGTTTCCCCTTCTCTTATCACTAACAGGATTGATATAGCTCAGAATGATCTTCCCTGGGAATTTATGGTTGACCATCTCCCTACTATTTTGTTTTTTCCATGTAACAGGTAATTTTGAATTTTTTTTTTATTACTCAAGGGTGATCTGTTTGGTATAGTCTAAACATTGAGTGTTGATACTTTTGAAGAAGCTACATTAATAGCAATAAATATTATTTCTGTGACTTTTTATAAGATGGTATTCATAAAATACCTTAAGAAAAATCAGGAAACGAGCTATAATCTCATCTGTTGAGTTTTTACATATGTGTATATGTGTGTATATGTATACACACACACATATTTAGTTAAAATAACTCATCATTTCATACTTCCCTGGCAGTGTTAGGAAGTTAAGGTACAAAAATTATAATTTTATATGCACAGTCTCTATAGTTATGAATCAGAAATTTATCTGTATTTGAATAGTTCATTTTCTCCAAATGTACCTAGGTTTTTCAGTGGGTTTCCATATTGAAGTTGTTAATCATAGTTTTGTGACATTGGCCTATACGGGATAATAATAATTCCTGAGAGCAACAGCTTGATTCCATTGTGGAGCTCCAAGGAAGCAGAGGAAGGGCGTCTTTGAAGGAAAAGCAGCAAATACTTTTAAAAATAGAATTAGAAATGTCAATATGGTGTGGCTCACGTAAAGACTAGTTGAGTCAGTTGAGTCAGCAGTCTCTTGTTTTTTACTGTTCTTATTGTTGCTTTTGTAAGTTATAAGCATTTTAGGGTAAATTAGTAGTCTTGTATATGGAGTCAAATTACAGGGCAGCACCTTTTTTGTAGAATGAAGACACAGTGTTATTTTGGGTCAGATGTGCTAGTGAAACTCCCATATGTGAACCATTATGTTATAATTTCCTGTGTTCTTAATGTGGTAGTAGAAGTGGTTATCTCAGCTATTCCCATCCTAATATTATCAAATATAGCAAAGTCATCATATTCTTGTAGAATTTTTTCCTTGCTTTGCTTATGTACTTTTTTATTCTGAATTCTTCCTGGGGAGTTCAGCTCATCAGGATAAAGTCTGCATAAAGTTACTTTGGGAAACTTTTGAAAAATATGTTTAAAGAATATTTTTTCCCAAAGAGTTTTTATATTGTGATCTATTCAAAATTAAAATGGTATTACTTGGAAAATCTTTCATTAATTTGAAGTGAACCGATCTCATAGTACTTTGCCACATACTAGGAACTACATAAGCATTTATTGGAATGAATGAATGAATATGTAGAAAAACCAGGAAAAGAATTGTTTTGAACCTACAAGTCTGGACTAAATGACTTTCAACTAAAGAGCCTTTAATAAAATATTTACATAGTATCAATCTCTAGTCATATAAATATCATTTCAGTAGTTTTTTTTTTCTGTATGAACTGAATGTGAGAAGGCTGTCAAGTTCTTTTTCAAACCTAAAATCTTTTAAGTTTAATGTGGCAGAATGATTTAAAAAAAAATTTATTTTGGCTAGGCAATGAGGTTATATGAGGTTACACACAGCTAGTAAGTGTCAAGTGTCTGAGGCTGAATTTGAACTCAGGTCTTCCTGACTCCAGAGCCAGTGCTGCCCCCACGATTTTCTTAAAATTATGGACATGGAGGGTTTTTTTTTTTAATTTCCCTAAAAGAAAAAAATGAACCTTAATAATAATAAGCTGGATTATAAGGAAATTTAGAATGAATGTGGCTTTATAACATTAATGAGGCAAGTGTCCTTGTGGCCCTGGCTGTACCCAAGTTAAGGTTTCCCTTTCCTTAGACTTTTAATGAATATGATTCTTAGGCAGGAGATTGCACTTTTTAATGCTATTTAAACATCCTTCTTGTGACAATGATAATAGTTATCACCTTAAATTATTTTAAAGTTTGTAAAGACTTGTCATGTATTTTCTCTTTTGATCCTTGTGATGTGGGTATTATTACTATCCCTATTTTAAGAGATGAGGAAACTGAGGCTGAGAGAGAGGTTAAGTGATTTGCCAGGGGCCACACATTTCTAGCATCTGAGGCAGAATTTGAACTCAGGTCTTCTTGTTCCAAGTTCAGTTCTCTGGGGTTACTCACTTCAGGAATTGTTTGCAGATTTGCTTACCATTCCTGGGGTAGGTACTTCGACCACATTAGTAATGTCTCTTATACAGCTTTATTCATTCTAGGAATGCATTAGAATGATGTATGATAAATTTGTCCATCCAAGATAAGTAACAGAATCTTTTTAGATGAAATTTCCATAATGTTGGTTAGGCCTTGTTACCTACTGCTTTCCTAGGAGAGTGAATCAGCTTGGAGCAGTAACCTCAGTGGGGTAGGGTGGGTGTAGGTGTGGGTGTGGGTTATTAGACTATATAATAAATAAGGCATTTGAGTATTTACTTCCAGCTCTTATCTTAATATTTATCAGTTTTTCTATTGATAGGAATGCCTTACTTTAAGAAAAATCTTTTTTAAATCCCGTATTTACAAAAGAGCTACAATAGGTGAATATTCCATTTGTCTTAAAAGAAAATCTATACCACATCCTTTTATAATAATGCCATTCATTTAAAAAGTTTATTATACATACAACTCTTAATGTATTGGACAAAGTGAAATAGCTGTCATTTTTTGCTTCTAATTTTTATTTATACAGTAGGGTGAATAGTTTATCCTATTCAATGTCTCCTCCTCATGATGCATTGAATTTCTCATGATTTCTTATGTTATTTGTTTTAATAGTAATTGGCATTTGAAATTTGTGAGAGTGCTTTATATGTACTTTTTGTGGACTTGTACTGAAGTTCATATTGTTCCTAGAGGGGGAAGTAGGATATGTTAATTAACAGATTTGAAACCTTTCTAATACTGGTACTCCATGATTGCTCTAGAAAGAGTGGTAAGTTTTTCCCCAGTAAAGCTTTTCTGAGCTTTAAATCTTCTTGAGAGATTTTTTTTAAAAAACCTTTTAGCTTTATCTCAAACCATAAACCCACCTCCTCAGCTCTGTTAGGAAAGATAAGAGTATTGCCCTTAATGGGTTGTGCCCCTGTCAATAAGTTAATGTCCTTATACTGTGGCATTAATGTAGATGTGCCTTATGTTGCTTAAATGTGTTCATAAAAAGTTACATCCAAATCATTGTATTAGGAGAAATTATTGCTAAAAAGAATGCAGCAACAAACAATCCTTTATTTTTCATATTCTAATTTTCATATATTTGATGCTCCTTTACTTTACCTAGAAAACCGGTAGATTAATTACAGCATGATATTGTGAGGCCTTATAAGATCCTGCAGTATTTATGAACTGTCTACAGATTGTCCTAAAGAGGTCTGATTAACCATACTCATTCCACTCCTGACATCCCCCCAATCCAGTGGAACAGTTAGGCTTTTTAAGCCAAAGCCCAATTGCACTAACTCCATTATTCATAGGAGCAAGATTATAAACACGTGGTATGCATAGAAATATCTTGAGTAGACAGACATTTCAGAGAAAATTAAAATTGTTCTGTTGCATTAACTCACCACTGTCTGCCAGCATCTGCAACATTAAAGTGTGCCATTAATAACTTGTATGCTTTGGTTTTGTAACCTATAATCTTTGTTGGATAAGCTTCTATCATATTTTTTTTTTTTGCTTATGTAATTAATAGTACAGCAGTCATGCTGTGGAGCCTTAAGTATTTTTGCCCTCAGTTATCAAATGTAAACAAGAAAAAGCTAAGTTCCTTAGGTCAAGTAAGTAAACTTTAATAGCAGGCTGATTTCAGGTCTATGTATGTCAGCTCCAACTCAAATACTTCCTTTTTTTCTAGGAAGGACTTGAGTGTGAAGTTTCCCGAGGACTCTCCCATCACCCTTCCCAATCTGCTGAAGTTCATTTTGCGTCATTCAGACCCCATTTCTACTGTTGGGAGCTCAGCTGACCCCCAAACCAAAGAACATCTTCAGAATGAGGCAGTATTACAGAAAGGACATATATCCCACTTGGAGAGAGAGATTCATAAATTAAGAGCAGAAATCACTACTCTTCACCAGGCTCAAGCCCAAGTGGAATCCCAACTTTCAGATGCCAGGAGAGATAAACACAGACTACAAAAGCAAAAACAAACACTGGAAAAGCAACATAGTGTTCTTCAGCTTCACAGTGAGCAGTTAGAGGCTCTGTATGAGCAGAAAACCAGAGAGCTGGAGGAGATGGCGCTGAAGCTTCAAGAATTAGCAGATGCATCGGAAAACCTTTTAACTGAAAATGCTTTACTGAAAATCCTGGTAGCAACAATGGAAGGAAAACTAGAAAATAAAGAAGAATCTGAAAAATCTAATACCCTACAAGAGACGTTTTCTTATGAAACTGAACTCCAGTCACGAGACAACACAAAACTTGCCACTAATATGAGTTCTCCTATGGCTTCTGAACAGAATAATGAAAATAGGACAGATTGATTTTTAAGATAATATGAAGAAATCAGAAGGGACAGCTACATACCAGGAAGATAATTTATGCAAATTTTATTGAAATTCATTGTAAATAAAAAATTTTTCTCAGTGGTCTAGAAAATCAAAGTGGATGATCATTCAACTTGGGGAAACATTCCCTATATAATTTATTGCACAAACTTGGTAGGTTTGAGACCAAAACAGTAGTACAGGTCCTTGAGGATAAGAGTCTATATTTAAGTGACAATAACAAACAATTCTTGCATTTCCCCTACTATAGTTTTCTAATTATTCCTTGTCACCTGTTCAGCACGTCTGAAGGTGGTAAACCATTTAGAATTGCTTTGAGAGATTAGTAAACCTTCAGACTATGCAAGCGATTGAAGGGCTTAGAAGCTAAATATATATATTGACGGGTAAAAGCTGCTTTTTTTCCTGGCATTTTGCTGGCCAGTCTTATTGGTATTTCCATCTTAAGCAGAGCTTCAGTCTAGTAAGTGGTAATGCTACTCTCCACTAAATACTGTCTGTCAGAAGTCTGATTTTAAAAATAAAATAAAAAGCAAAGTTAAAAGTTCTCTCTGGTGACCCAAGTAGGGGAAAAAATATTTCCCTAACATTTGGAGAAATGAACAGTATTTTAAAAATTATTAGCCCAATAAAAAGCCAGATACAGTTTGAAAAAACAGGGCAGTTAAAAGAATGTTAGATGACCTCAGCATACTCCATAATTTGGATTACTTTGCTAGCTACCTGAATCTAGAGACTGTTTTCCCTACAGAGCAAAATGATGAAGAGATAGAAAGCTTCAGAAGTTTTTGATGTGATTAAGTAAACGGATGTCCATCCTAGGATTTACTCATCTTTAGCTTGCACATTTCCCTACCCCTTTCCTTTCATCCTTGGGCTTGGATATTGGCTCTCCCTTTAATTCATGAGCCATAAGCAGCCATCAGATTTGCACTTAAAATAATTGTCTCTCTAAACCCAGAGGACTTTCCAGCATCCCCAAGTTGGGACTCCAATGAAGTGTGACTTTATTAACAATTTGACTGGTATCCCCAAAATGCTCAATAAACCCTTTACTGCAAAGCAGGGGTTCTTAACCTGGGGACCATGAACTTTAAAAAATTTTATTTTGGGTAACTATTTCTATACAATTAAGTTTCCTTTGTAATCTTACGTATTTTATATTACACATTTAAAAATATTCTGATGAAGGGTGCCATACATTTCATGAGTCTGCCATAGAATAAAATCTAAATCCCTCCCATCAAAATAAAATTTTAAGAACAAGAAGGAATGATGGAAATACATTTAACTTGATTTTTTTTAACAATATTATTTGCTTAGTACATACTCAGCCTTCCCCACCACAGTTCTGTGCTTGGATCACTTTCACGTTTTTATTTGCTCAATTCATAGTGGCTAATGTTTAATGATTCTTACAAAATAAAGTTAGGCACTGATTTTCTCTTAATCACTAATGCTTAAATTAACACTAACATTAACATTCTCACTGTGCCTTGTTAAATCTCTACTATCCTATTGCAAAATTCATACCTAGTGTACATAAAGTGATTTAAGACAATGGGTTAAAATTTATGGTTTTTTTCTTTTTTGAGGTGGGAAGCTGGCTAAACTGTGATTAAAGTCATTATTTTGAAAATAGAAATCTTTACCTCCTAAAACTTCATTATCCCTATAGTACTTGATAAGCATTAAATTGCATATACACACACAAAAGTGGCTTCTGAATATTAGAATGCTTGCCTATAGCTTACCACATGCTTGCTGAATGTTTTTGAAGCCTGATTTAGAGAATTCCAGTCATACTTATGCTGATTTGCTGAGGATAGTAAAATTCAATACCTATTAGTGGGACAGTAACTAGAAATTGTTTCTGAAAAGAAAAAAAAGAAAAAAAAAGACTTTTAAGCCTCTTTTGCCATTCCCTTCCAGTTCAGAAAACATTAAATAGCAGGAAATAGTCTGTTGCTGTCTATACTGAGACAGTTGGGTTTGTTTAGACTAAAAGTAGATTTCCTATCTTCACATGAAAATCACAGCAATTACAGCAAGCTAGCTCTAAGTAATGCCAGTTGTAGGGAAAAGACATTTTTATACTTTTAACATGCTTTTAAAAAACACATAGGAAAAACTGCTCTGCTGCTATAAATTAGCCTGGCAACCTTCTGGATTATCCCTGTGTAGATTACAGATCCTTCACTGGCTCCCAGATAATACAGCAGCTTCCTTGCAATAGTTACACAGTTAATGTTAACGATATTCATAGGTAACAGCCTAATCTACCTAACAAAGGAGAGAGGCATGTTTCTTGTTTTTGGCCTATTGCTTCCTGCAATAGAAGCCAAATTCTAATAGGCATCATTGCTTGTTTTCTATAAAGTTACCCACAAGACTTAAAAACAACAGCTTTCTTTACATATTTACATTTGTGATTCCTAACTAGCCAGCTGATGGCAACTTGGGCTTTCCATGATTAGAACCTTTTCCATGATCATGGGGCTCAGTCTTCAGTACTGAGTTTACCATTACAATAACTTCAGACCAGCAGCTCCATGTGCTATATTATTTTTTTTAAAGAAAAGAAAAAAAAAAAAACCAAACCAAGTGCTTCTGGTGCCTATTTACAGTTCACAGTTTTGTTAGCTAGTTCACATTACAGTAGTAGCTCCATCAAAAACAGGCTCAGCTAAACATTCAAGTAACAAAAATGCTTTGATTTGTTTTACACCAGCAGGGCCCGGTCTGTCCATTGCCTGCAACGGACAGTACCACCAGAAAGGTTAGCCAACTCCCAGGGCCAACAAGTTTAGGTTCAGGACACAGGTCTGAGTGCATGCAATAACAAAACCCAGCAAGACCATACTGTGAAATTTAAACTCAGTTCTTCTTAAAGAGCAGCACATCCAAATTATTCTCCACTTTTCTTTCTGCTGGTTGTATACAAGGTTTAGTACCCACGAGCATCTGTGCCAAGGGTTAGCTTAGCCATGGACTTCTGTGCCATTAGGGGTCAGCTTTGCTTTTCTTTCCACACAAGGACCTTTAGCAGAATACTGGACCAAAAGGAAGGGTTCTTTGGTTTCTCCATCACCCACAATGCTCTCTTCATCCTCTGACTGGCTGATACGCTGTAGGCGCAAGTAACACCAACAGCCAAGGATCAAGGCCCCCAAGGCTGCAATGGCAATGAGAATGACGATAACAGTAACCACTCCGGTGGTGGGGCTGTGGTCCATAATAGACATGGTCAGTTCTTTGGGACAGCTCACAAGTTAAAATGGTAGTCCTACCACTCCTGTGGCCTTAACGTGGTCCTGTCTCCATAGGCATATCCTGAAACAGAAAGCAAAATGTAAGTGAATGGAGCTACATTTGCATCCCATTAGTTTCCAAATGGTAGCAAAAACTCTGTAACAACTGACACTTCATTACTTCAGGATTCTTGATCTGAGTCCAGCTTTATAGAGTAATCATTTCGTATTCTTGGCTATCCATCCACAGTCGGTTGCCCTCACTATGGGTTATCAGATGAGTTGGCTTTTTTCTTTTTTCCTCTTTGGAAAAGAGATTCTAGTCTTTAAATGACTGATTTCCCACTCAAACAAAATGCCATTTTCTTCCTTCACTCCTCTTCTGTTTAAGGGGGGGAAAAAGCCAGCCGTTCACCACCAGAAACAAAACTGTTAAATTTACTTGGTAACTTGACCACCTTTAGCTAAGTAACAGACCATTAAAACCTGATAAATGGAAAGATCTGATACTTGTAGAAGTTTTCCGTGATTTAATGCAGCCATATAGCTTCAATAAATGGAGACAGTGATGATTTTACATTACATTAGACATAAATAAAACTGATTCAGTGGCATTTAATGTCATAAGGGAGAAGGTCAAACTTCTACCTTTGGTCCTAAAATAAAGCTATATGTAAAATTTTGTTTTTGCAGATCAGTTAAACAAGTATTTGAGTATCTGGTACATCATACAAAAGTTAAAAAAAAAAAAAAATATATATATATAGTAGCTGCCAACAAGGCACTTGCAGTCTGACTGGAAACGTTAGGTTTGCAAAATCAAACATTTATAGAACACAACTGTACACAACTGATCTGACACATTTTATCACATATATAGTAACATAAAATTAGAGAGTAAGGGAAGGCTTCCAAAGGAGCGGGGCTAAGAAGTTTGACTTTGAAACATAGGTGGGCTTCAGATAAGCAAAGAGAAGAAGAGGAGAGTATTCTATTCTAATACAGGTAGTAACAATGTCAGAAGAAAAGACATTAGCTTGACTAGAACAGAAGATTCATATTAGAGTGTGGAAAATAGGTTTGCCAGAACTTTTGATGTTAGGTTTGTGAGGCAGCATGAGGTAGTGGATAGACAACTGGCCTTAGACAGGAGGAACAAAGTTCAAATCTTCCTGATACGTATTGACTATGTGACCCTGGGCAAGTCAATTAACCTCTGAGTACAGAGTTTTGTCTCCTGAAAATGAGGAAGTGAAAACAGGTCCAATACCTATCCCTTTGTTTTTACTGTGGGAATGGAAGCAAGTAGGGGTGGGGGGACGGGACCGTTTTCAATCACTGTTCAACATTAAATTTCCCTTCAACCAGGAAGGAAAATTATTCAGAAGCTTGAATTTGTACTAATAAGTCTGTTCTAGACCTTTGAGAAATCACAATCAAGAACGGGATAATCAATCAGAAGCCATTAGGTACCTACTATGGTGCCAAATACTTTGCTAAGCACCGGGAATACCAAAACAAGAAAAAAATGAAAGCCCCTGCCTTCAAAGAGCTTACAATCTATTAGTTGAAATAACACATACACACAATTAAGTACCAAATATAGACAAAGTCAATACAACTAATTTTCCAAGAGGAGATGCTAGAAATAAGGGAAAGTCTCATGTAGGAGATGACACCTAAGCTGAACTTTGAAGCAAGCCAGGTATCCTAGCAGGAGGGAATGCATTCACAGGATCTATGTAATAATGTGTGTGAGGCACAGCCAGGCAGCCCATTTGGCTAGTCTCTGGTGCGCAGAGAGGAGCAATGTGTAAGAAAGCTAAAAAAGTGGGCCAGCAACAGATGATAAAGGGTTTTAAATGCCAAACAGCAATTTCTATTTTATCTATTTAGGTAAGAGAGAGCCAATGGAGTTTTTGGTGAAGAGAGTGACGTAGACTTCTGCTTTAGAAACATCATTTTGGGGGCAGCTAGGTGGCGCAGTGGATAGAGCTCCAGCCTTGGAGTCAGGAGGACCTGAGTTCAAATGTGACCTCAGACACTTGACACTAGCTGTGTGACTTAAGTCACTTTACCCTGATTGCATCACCAAAAAAAAAAAATATATATATATATATATATCACTTTGGCAGCTGTGTGGAAGACGGATGGAGAAGAAAGTGACTTGACAAGAAGATGAGGGAGGCTAGCATTATAGCCAAGAAACCAGGGGAGCCTGACCTAGGGTGGTAACTGTGTGAGCAGAAAGAAGGGGATGCATGACTCGGATGGCATTAATCAATCAGCAAGACTTGGCAATTGATTAGATGGAGGAAAGAGCTGAGGGTAACCAACATGCCAGACCTGGATGAAAAAAGTCAGTAAAAAGTTAGGAATATATTTCTTGAAATAACAGCAAAAGTTGATATTTAAGGCTTAACTCCAGTGAACTGCCGCTGTAAGGTATTCAATGTTTTAATCAAATCATTCTCACATACCTCAGGAGATCAAAGAAAAAAGGTCCATATGTACAAAAATACAGCAGCTTTCTGCATACTAGTCCCAACCTGGATGGTTTGGGGGTGTCCGCCTATTAAGGAATGACTAAGCAAATCATCATAAGTAATGTAATGCTATTACACCATAAGAAATGATGAAATGGATGGTTTCAGAGGAAACTGGAAAGATTTGTATGAACTGGTGCAGAGTGAAGTGAGTAGAACAATTTATACAGTGACAACATTACAAAGAAAAACAATTACAAAGAAAAAAACTGAAAGACTAGGACTGATCAGTACAATTATTAAATACAAGTAGAGAGGATTGAATATGAAACATGCTACCCACCTCTTTTCTTACATAGGAGGGGATTGAAATGGTAAGTCAAATAATGCAGTTTGACTAAAAATGTAGTAAGTAGGCAAGGGAATAGATTGGGACCATCTGGAGAAGGCCTTCTATGCCAGGCTGAGGACTTCTGAATTTGATCCTGGAAACACGGGAGCAAAGGAAGTTTTTGAGGAGGAAAACTCCATGCTTAGACATAATCTTAGGAAGGTTACTTTTGTTTGTCCTTTGTTTTCCAAAGAGATCACAGGGGATGTCTCGACTCACGGGAGAATTGGATTTAAGTGAGGCAGAGTCGCACAACGTTGTCAGCCTCACTCTTTCTTCCGGAGTTATCAAAGTCCACTGGCAAGACAGAAGTCTTGGTGACTGGTGATGGCCCAAGATGCAGTGGATGCTCTTGGCATCTTTGCTGCTGGACCAAGCTCTAAGCGCTCTGTAGCAGCAGCTTCTGCTGCCTTCATGGCCGTTGGAACAAATTGTTCTTATTGATCCACGCCACCGGGAGAAGTTTTCACACCCCCCTAACTCACTGAGGGGTTTGAGACCTGTTGGTTATTCTCAACTTGTTTTAGCCTGTCTGCTAAGAGTTGTACTGGGGTGTGGCCGCTGGGCTTGCTACAGCTTCTTGGAGCCACAGGTGAGAGTCCTGAGTGCCAGGTAGACATCAAAAGTGGATGAGCAGCCCTGGGAAGGGCTCAGCAAGTCTTCACGCTGGGGATGCGAGTCTTCCCTGAGCACCCCATACATCCCACACCCCAGAAGGTTACTTTATGAGCTGCATGAAAGATGGACTAGAAAGGGGCATATTCCACTAACAAAAAAGCTTCATCTTTATATTAAGAGGGGGTGGTGGTAGTGGTGTGCTTACTTTTCTCATCCGAAAACTGGAGGAAAGCTTTCCATTTCCTCATCATTACATATAATCCAAACATCATTTTTAAAGCATCCCCAAAATTCAAGGCACTATGGATACAATGAAAAAAATGTTTTAAGAAGATATTGTCCATACCCTCAAGGTGTTAACCTTGAGTGAGGGCCTTCCTAAAAGTATTATATCAGCTTAGAAGCAATAGAAGGAAATATATGGGGAAAAGCATTGATGCTGAGTGATTTTCACAATAGTGCAGAAAGACCTAGTTTTGGAGGCAGGAAGACCTGGCAGTAGTTTTATAGCACGCTGCAATTTTTCACTATAAAAAGGCTTACTTTCTTCTGTTTTGCCCTAAAATGTCCTTGACCCCTTTTTATTCCAGGGAATATGCCATCTTTCCCCTCCCCAAGGTTCTGTCTGTATATTTCAAGCCCAACGATCCTGAAGCCAAGTTAGTTTTGGAAATGCTGAGCTGCATAAACCCCTTCTGGGTAGCTGGTAACAATGATCTCTAGCTTACCACAAAAACTCAACTTGGAGCTCACTTACCTCAAGTCAAAAGCATCAAAGGCATCAACTATTACAGAGAAGATGGGATGCCTGATTTGTAATCCATTAAGTTTAAGAAAAAATGGACAGCTTTCAATCAGACATGTGGAAGAACATCACAGTGGGGTTATCCAACCACAGAATGGATAAGGGAGGGAAGTTATAGTCTTCTTCATCAATATTTGAAAGACCAGTGATTTCAGATTCAAGACAATTTAGTTAGTATTAAAGTACCAATAGAATAGAAGTCCCTGAGCTAGGCCGTGTGTATACATACATATAACCTGAAAAAGTCTCTGCTGTCAAAGGGCTTACATTCTGTTGGAGGGAAGGCAGGAAGGAATATAATTTGTAAACAGATTAGAAAAGATAATTAAAAGAGGGAGAGACCATTGGGGGAGTGAGAAAAGGCATTCCCTGAAGATGTCACATAAGCTGAATGCTTAAGGAAAACTCTTCCTTTGCCACCAGCTGCTCAGCTTGGTTTCAACTCCATCATCATCTTCATCATGCCCCACCCAAGATAAGCACATTACCACTGTCATGGAGATTGCTTCAGCTTTGCTATTCACATCGCATCTGCACCCTCAGTTGTTTCTGCCTTTCTACTGGAGGGCTATAAGGGCAGAGCAAAAAAATCCTTTTACAGCCTCTTTATAGAAGGCTCAAAAGCCTAGCCTTCATTTGCAACCAGCCACTCTGTTTGGTTTCAACTCCACCATCATCTTCATCCTGGGTACCCTCTTCACACTGGGTACACTCTACTCCTCCCCCTTCAACTTCCTTTTGTCTATTGTCTTCCCCTATTAGACTGTAAGCTCTTTGAGGGC